GAAGTTGAGTTGCATTCTTCCATCTCAAACCTCTTGAGAATTTCTCCTGCATATCTTCTTTGATGCATCATCAAACCTCTACTTCTCTTGTAGAATTCGATACCAAGGAAATATGAAATCTCACCCAAATCAGACATTTCGAATTCCTTGCTGAGATCACCTTTGAAGTCTTCGATCTCACTTTTACAGCTACCTGTTATCAACAAATCATCTACATAGAGACATAGCATAAGCAATTTACTCTTGCTTCTTCTTACATATACTCCATGTTCAGTTGTGCACTTCACAAATTCCTTCTCCCTTAGAAAACTATCAATTTTCTTATTCCAAGCCCTTGGAGCTTGTTTCAATCCATACAGGGCTTTATGTAGCCTGTACACCTTTCTTTCTTCGTCATGTTTCACAAACCCAACTGGTTGTTTAACATAGACTTCTTCATCTAAGGGTCCATTTAGGAATGCACACTTCACGTCCATCTGACATATGTGCCAACTGTTTATTTCTGCTAGACCAACAACCAACCTGATTGTTTCGATCCTAGCAACAGGTGCAAAAACTTCGTCGAAGTCTATTCCTTCTTTCTGTAGAAATCCTTTCGCCACAAGTCTTGCTTTGTGTCGAGTTACTTCACCTTTCGAATTCGTTTTCACTTTGTATACCCACTTGACATCAATTGCCTTCTTGCCTTGAGGAAATTCGACAAGTGACCAAGTGTTGTTGTCTTCGATAGACTTTACTTCTTCGTTCATTGCTTTCACCCACTTCAAATCCTTTAATGCTTCAGCTGCATTAATAGGTTCGACATCTGCATAGAAAGCATAATGTACCAGCTCACCTTCATTATATATTACATCATCTGATGTAATCACACAATCTTGCAATCTTGCAGGCATGCGTCTTGTTCTTTGAGGCCTGCTTGTACTTGGTATATCTGCTGGTTCCTCTTGTCGAACTTCTCTTTCGACTTGAGTTTCTGGCTCTTCGAATAGGATTCCCACTGAATCTTTCTTGACATTTACAGTCCAATCCCATTCTTTAAACTCATCTATGATCACGTCTCTGCTGATCACAATCTTCTTGTTCTCTGGATCGAACAACTTGTAGCCTCCTGTCGAATGATATCCAACTAGGATCATTTGACTTGACTTGTCATCAAGTTTTCTTCTCAACTGATCTGGCATATGTCTATGTGCAACAGATCCAAATACCTTCAGATGACTCAAGCTAGGCTTCACACCAGACCAACATTCTTCTGGAGTAATTCCTTCTAGCTTCTTTGTAGGACATTTGTTCAAAATGTATGTTGCAGTCGAAACAGCTTCACCCCAAAACTCTTTAGGTAAACTCTTGCCTTTAAACATACTTCTCACCATATTCACGATGGTTCGATTTTTCCTTTCTGCAATTCCATTTTGTTGTGGAGTATACGGTGGCACCACCTCATGCACAATCCCTTCCTTTTCACATAATCTGTCGAAGTCTTTCGACACATATTCTCCACCACCATCAGTTCTCAAAACTTTGAGCTTTCGACCACTTTGTCTTTCGACCATAGACTTAAACCTGGTAAATACTTCGATCACTTCACTTTTCTTCTTGATCAGGTAAGTCCATAGCTTTCGACTGAAATCATCTATGAATGTAACAAAGTATTTGTTACCTCCCATCGAATCCACCTGGATTGGTCCACATACATCAGAGTATATGACTTCAAGACTAGCCTTCGATCTGCTTCCTGCATCCTTGCTGAAGCTATTCTTGTGTTGCTTCGCCTGCACACATTCCTCACATACCTCGTTTGGAATGTCAATTTCTGGCAATCCTGAAACCATATTTCTTCTCTTCAAATCTCTGATGTCTCTGAAGTTGAGATGACCTAGTCTATAATGCCATATCCATTCATCTCTGCTAGCTGCAGTCGAAAGGCACTTGTGCTCCATCACATTTAGTTCAATCTTGAAGGTTCGATTCTGAGACATAGGAGCCTTCAAGATTACTCTCCCATTTGCATCAACGACTCTCATCAACTTATCTTCGATTGACACTTTATAATTCTTTTCGACCAACTGCCCTATACTGAGCAAATTGCTCTTCATGCCTGGTATGTACAACACATTGGAGATTACTGACCTTTTGCCATCTTTCCTCATAATCATAACATCACCAATACCTTCAGCTGCCAGGGTATTGTCATTTGCAAATTTTACCATATTTTTCTTTGAGGGCTTTATATTGACAAACCAGTCTTTCCTTCCAGACATATGTGATGAACATCCTGAATCCAAGTACCATTGGTCATTGAATCTATCTTCATCTCTTGTTGTGACCATCAGCATCATCTCTTCTTCTTCATGCTTTGCAAGCTTTGCATCACTTTCTTGATTCTTTCGTTTTTCTGGACAATCACTCGAAAAGTGTCTATATTTCTGACAATTGTAACATTGAATGTGACTCTTATCAGATTTTCGACCACCACCTCTTCCTCTATTTGCAACACCACCTCTTTGGTTGTCTTGATATGGTCTTCTTTGATTCGACACGTCTCCTTCGATTTGGTTTCCTCTACCATTCGATTTGTTGTAGTCACCTCTACCTCCATCGAAACACTTTCCTTTGCCTTTGGTCTATTTTGCTGAATGTGCCTGCAAGGCCACATCACTCTTCGATTTTCCTGCAGCTCTTTCGTTCATTCTTTGTTCATGAGATTCAAGCGTCCCTTGAAGCTCTTCCTTTGTCAATTTCGACAAGTCTTTCCCCTCTTCTATCGCCACCACTATGTGGTCGAACTTAGGAGCTAAAGATCTCAAGATCTTCGACACAACAACTCTTGTTGTTAACGCTTCTCCACATATCTTGATTTGATTTACTAGTTTTGTAACTCTAGTGAAGAAATCAGATATGTTTTCACTGTCTTCCATCTGAAGCAGTTCATAGGTCCTTTTGTGAGTTTGTAACCTCATTTCTTTCACCTTCTCAGTGCCTCCAAAAGACTTCTCAAGGATCTCCCAAGCTTCTTTTGCAGATTTTGAATCACTAACCTTTTCGAAATTGTCTGGGCTGACACATTGATGAATTATAAATAATGCTTTATAACTCAGCTTCTCAGATTCTGTGTTTTTCTTCTTTTCTTCTTCTGAAGCGTTTTCGCCAAGCGCTTCGACTCCATCTTTTACAAGGTCCCAAAGACCTTGACACCTGAATAAGACTTTCATCTATTTGCACCAATTCTCATAGTTGTCAACTTTCAGAATTGGTAGCGTTGCTGGATAGTTTGCATTCCCATAACTTGTCATCGTGAATTCTTCAATCGTTCTTGATTGACACTTCCCTTGAATCGAAACAAAAGCTCTTGATACCAGATGTTGGAAATCCACCAAATTCTATGATGAATTTCTACCACAATGACAATTTAATTATGAGACAAACAAAGAAAAGAAGACAAGACAAATATTTCTGCAGAGTTTCTCTCTGCCCACAAACTGTGGAAAACTTTCTTAATCACTTGCAACTGCAAATTTTGTGATTACAATGAATTGATTTACTTGACTTGTTTTGAAAAATAGAGGTTACTCCCTCTATTTATAACTGAGCTTACACCCTAAGCCCAAAACCCAAAATATCTTTTTGTTACTAAATCAAATCAAATCAAATCTATTCTGGACTTAAATCAAATCTATTTAAATCTAAAATAAATCAAATCTTCTTTGACACTATGAATTACAATTTAACATTAGTGAATATACACGAAATTAAAATAAAATATTACCTCTGTCCCTAAATATAAGACTCCATAGACTAAATTACGTTAATAAAAAAATTGGTTAGAGTATTAAATTTATTGATTATTTGTACAATTTTACAAATTTATTCTTATGAGAGAGAAATAATTGATGTTTATACAAGTGTATTTATTACTGATTGCATAAAAAGATGTGATATAATTAGGGATAGGTTTGAAAAAAAATTATTAATGAACTTTGAAAGTTGAAGAGGGTCTTATAAAAAAGGATAAGAAAAAAACTCAAAAGGGTCTTATAATTAAGGATGAAGGTAGTGCATAATTAACTTACCAACTAGCACATTAGACTTGAATTTTTCCTCAACTACGACATCCAATCTAAGTATGTTCGGAAAATTTACAGAAATTTCAGGGAATTCTGTCTTCTTAACTGAAGTTGATTCACAGAATACCAATTTGCAACTATGATTAGTCGACTTAAAAGAGAAATCGTTGTTTGACACTTTGAAATTCTGCATTATGTAAGAACTTCTACCAGCGAGTTCTTCCTTGAATTTCGAAATCAAAAAAAGATGGCACAATAACTTGAATTATATCTCGCTAAAAAAAAAAGAAAAAAAGTTTATAGCACAGACAAACACACCACAAAGACAAATTACAAACATGACCAAAGAAAAAAAGTTTATAGCACAGACAAACACACCACAAAGACAAATTACAAACATGACCAAAGAAAAAAAGTTTATAGCACAGACAAACACACCACAAAGACAAATTACAAACATGACCAATTATCATAGGTTTGAATCAATCAAAATCATCTGAATGATTTTTTGAAACACTTCACACATACCCCAAGAAAAGTGAGATTAACATTCACATTCTTCAAGTTCAATCTTAAACCCTAGATTTCACATCACTTGAAATCCAATTAGACGCAAAACCAAAAGTTCCATCAAAATCATTGTAACTACATTGACGAATGTCATCCAAGTCTCCCATCCTCTTTCTACTGAGGACGGGGAGCCGCCGCCACCACTCTCTCACTCTCTTCTCTTCATTACACACTAATTCCTCATGTTACCTAACTCAATTCCTACCTCTTCCTAACCGAACCACCAATTTCAATCCACTCACATTCATCACCCCAAGAGAACGCCGAATCATAACCCTCGGATTAACCACCATCATCAAAAACCACCAATCTTTCGTCTTGAAAGCTTTCTCTCTTCGTTTCTGCCCTTATTTCCTCGTCAAAATAATGAAGCTTTTAAACACCCCCGACGCAGATTTCGCTTTCTTCAAACTAGCATTATCCAATTCTGATTCCGACGAAATTCTTCGTTCATGTTGCATTTCCGCTCATGTTTTATCAGCTCAGAGTCGCCAACTTCTCGCACAGGATATGATTTCCTGGGTTTTTGGGAGGATTGATGCTGGTAGAAGTAAAGAGCTTGTTGAGTTTATGTGGAGGAATCACACGCAATATGAATCTGATTTTTCTGTGTTGAATACCCTAATGAGGGCCTTTTTGAATGTAGGTATGAGTTTAGAGGCATTAGGTGTTTTTAATAGAATGAGAGATGTTGGTGTTATACCTAGTGTAACTGCAATGACTATTCTTTTGAAATTGTTGTTTAGGGTTGGTGATTATGCTACTGTGTGGAGCTTGTTTAAAGATATGATTCGAAAAGGGCCTGCTCCTTCGGATATTACGTTTAATACCATGATTTGTGGGTTTTGTAGACAGGGAAGGGTTGTTATAGGGGAGAGTCTGTTTTATTTGATGGAGAAATTTGCGTGTGATCCTGATGTTTTTACTTATAATGTTCTTATTAATGCGTGTTGTGTTGGGGGGAAGACTTCGGTTGCAGTTGCTTGGTTACGTTTGATGATGGTAAGAGGTTGTGAGCCGAGCATTTCTACGTTTAATACCATTTTGCACGCTCTTTGTAGGGAAGGAAATGTGGTGGAGGCGAGGAAGTTATTTGATAGAGTTTTAGCTATGGGGATCACTCCAAATACTGCAATATATAACTCAATGATGGATGGGTATGTAAAGGCGAGGGATATTGGTCAAGCTAGTTTGCTTTATGAAGAAATGAGGATTAAAGGGGTTCCTCCTGATTGTGTGACTTTCAACATTTTCGTCGGAGGGCATTATAAATATGGGAGAAGGGAGGATTGGAATAGGTTGTTAAATGCTTTAGTTGTGACAGGATTTTTTCAGGAATGTTCACTTTATGATGTAACAGTGTCGTGGTTGTGTTGGGCTCGTAGAATTGATGAAGCCATGAAATTATTAAAGGATTCACTTGAAAAAGGACAAATTTTTAGTGTTGCTGCCTTTAACTCGTTAATAGCAGCCTATAGCAGGGAAGGTTTAGAAGACAAAGCTTTTGAAGCCTATCATATTATGGTTAAATGTGGTTTCACTCCTTCATCGTCAACATATAATTCTTTGCTTATGAGTTTGTGTAGAAAAGGGAGGTTGCAAGAAGCCAGGACACTTTTGTATAGGATGACAGAGAAGGGGTTTCCCATGAAAAAAGTGGCTTACACTCTGCTTTTTGATGGATGTTTCAAGATGAATGATATGGACGGCGCTCTATTTATGTGGAAGGAAATGAAAGAAAGCGGCATATATCCTGATGTTGTAGCCTTTACAGCCTTAATAGATGGACTTTCAAAAGCTGGTAACATTGACGAGGCATATGAAGTGTTCTCAGAAATGTTAGCTATAGGGTTTGTTCCTAATAATTTTGCTTATAATTCATTGATTGGTGGGTTTTGCAACTGTGGGAAGATGAAGGAAGCGTTAAAGTTGGAGAAAGAGATGAGGGTTAGAGGTCTTCTTCCTGACACCTTTACCTTCAATATCATCATTGATGGATTTTGTAGACAAGGAGATGTGAAATCTGCAATTGATGCATTTCGTGAAATGCACCGGATTGGTTTGATGCCTGATATATTCACATTTAACATATTAGTTGGTGGGTACTGTAAGGCATTTGACATGGTTGGTGCGGATGATATGTTTAATAAAATGTTCACCTGTGGGCTTTACCCTGATATCACAACCTATAATATACGCATGCATGGTTATTGCAGTGTTCGAAAAATGAATCGAGCGATTCTCATTTTGGATGAGCTTGTCTCTGCTGGTATTGTTCCAAACACAGTGACATACAACACTATGATAAGTGGTATTTGTAGTGATATTTTGGACCGTGCTATGATTCTTACTGCAAAGTTAATTAAGATGGGTTTCCTTCCAAATGTGATTACAACCAATATATTGCTGTCTCACTTTTGCAAGCAAGGGATGCCTGAGAGGGCCTTACTATGGGGGCAAAAGTTAAGAGATATTTGCTTTGATTTTGATGAAATCTCCTATATAATACTGAACAGTGCTAACCATTTGGTGCAGAATGAGGTTGAACTTGTGAGAGGAACATATGAAAAGAGCCTTTTTTTGGATTTCCTAATGTACATTACATTTGACCATTTTTCAAGAAATAGACCTCAAAACACAGAGAACGAGAATAATTTGAAGTTGATTGAAAGTCAATATGTTGCTTTATGAACTTGATTGTTTCATCATTTTATAATCCGGGACATTCTCCAATCTCCACGGTTTTGTGTAATCATGAGATCAATAAGTATTCCCTACTTGAGCATTGCACCAAACATGTGGTTACACAATATGCGGCAGTGGCACAAAGTGCAAGAAACCTAAGAAAGATTGGTTACCTTTTTCTAAGGTGAATGTCATTAGATATTGCTACTGCACTGGAGTGTTTTTATGTGATTAATTTAGCTTTATTTTATTTTATTTTATTTTATTTTATTTATGGTTGATGAAAATAAAAACGTGTTCTTTTTTAGGGTAGCGTTGCAATTTGTGCATGATATGCAAGAGAGAGCTCATAAGAACTCTGAAGCTAGTAGAGATAGGTCATTACCTGTGTTTGGTGTTGGAGTTGTGTTTATTGACCAGAGTGTTGTTTTTCCGTTTCCATCTCATGAAATGGAAGAGGCGGTTGAAGCTATTAGTTTGAATGTGTCGAGTTTAGCCCCACCAAGGAAGGAGTTTCATTTTGTTCCTATTGAGACTGTTTACTCGTCGGATTCTAGTGATGGAAAAAAGAGGTTGATTGAGCTGATGAATGTAGTGAGTGATCCCACTGGTAGGGAGGATGTGTTGCTTTCTTTGCGAATGTTGGACTTGCAAAAGGTTTGCTTCTAGATCTTGTGATACCATCTTGGTTTGAAGCTTTTAGACATACATATTTTTTATGTTTGAAAACGTGTTCAATTTGAAATTGTTAACCATTTTTCAGGTGGCTTCTGAATTTGGGTATAACAGGATTGTTATAGGCACATGCATTTCAAGGATTGCTGCTCATGTCGTTTCAGCCACTGTGAAGGTTTGTTAGCTATTTTATAGGCAAATGTTTGTTGTTACTTGTTAGTATGTTATGTCGGTAGCTAGAGTTTGAACCCTAGACCTCCTTCTCAAATTACTTCGGGTGTCCGAAATAATCCACTTGAGCTACACCTTGGGGACACTGAAGGTTTGGCATATTAATTCAATTGAGTTGAATTTGAATGTTTTTTGCTCAATCAAATTGCTTGTTTATTAATTTTCATTTGTGCTTTGTCTAGTTTTTCTCGAGGCGTTATGCTAGAAAAGTTACTTGTTTATGTTATGAGAATACTTTTGCGTATACAATGCATTGGTTGCACTGCACTAATTCCCCAGATATGCATTTTGTTAAGTGGATAAGAGACTTTGACCAATCCTAATAAATTCCCCAGATACGCATTGGATAAGAGTAAAACTATAATTTTAATGTCTACTGAGCTTAAAATATTTTTGTCAGGTGCTTTAGTGATGGAACTTTTGCATTCATTAGCATAATTCAATTTCTAGATTGCATTTTTCTGAAGAATATAATATGTTGTCTTTGTTGCCATCGAGGCTGTTTTTCAAGGATGATCTCAATATGATTAGATTGAAAATGTATGTGAACTGCTTGAACTGAATAACCCTTGCCTACAAGGCTGTTTTTCATGTCCACATTAATCCTGCATAAATTCAAATCGTGATGTGTACATACACTGTTTAGTAATTGCTAGGACCTTATCCAAGTTTGTCCTGTCTGTTGCATTGTACGGAAGAATCGACCTGATGTAATGGGCACTCATTTTCGTATTATAACAGGGGCAAGGATATCCGTTACTTGCTGATATCCAGTATGTTGATGCTAGATGGGAAATTCCAGTTGTGCTTCCTCTGCGTGATTGTTTTGTTCAAGAGATCAACATGTTTTGCTGTCTCGACAGGTTTGTGCTCCTCTGAATATGCCATAAACATTTTCGAAGAAATATACTGTTGCTTTTGTTTCTTCTACTTCTTGTTTTGGAAAATTTAGAACTCTTCTGTCTTCTATGTTTCTAGGTCTGAATTATGCAACTCTTATTTAAAATGGAGTTTTAAGTGTTCACTTCTAGGGTTTAGAGAAAACATGTTTTTTTGTTGATTAGTATTTTGTTTTCCATTATAGTAGAAGCACAAATCAAATTAGCAATTATCCAGTCATTTATGGATTACCTGTTTTACAGGAAGAGAACCCATCTCAAGAAAGCACAATTGTAAGAACAGCTGGGAAACTAATCCCCTTTCAATTCAACAGAATTCCCGAGATCATTGATGGTAATTTCCATTGGCAACCCTTCTTTAGTAGGAGCACAATTGCTTGGATTGTTTTCAATTTTATCGTGACTCTGGTTTTCTATCTCCAAAATATACATGAAAGAGTCTCTTCATGACCTCAAATTTACGTGGCAATTTTCTCTTGTTTTTCACGGAACGGATCAAAGATTGCTTGCTTTCAGATGGTGAAGATGGAACTTAAGTTTACTTTCCTACACCGAGACTCTCGGTTAGAGGGGCAAATCAAGGCTGTGGTAAACTTACGGTTTGGGTGACTTACCAGAAGGCCTCGCCTTTGGCCTCTTGCTAGTTATGGAGTTTAACATCAGTGTTGATTCTCTGTTGTAATATTTGTAAGAATATTTTAGGAAGTATAATGTTTTTTTTTGTTTTTTTGCATCGGTTGTATTTTTAAGGAAAAATGTTGAACCACGACAATAAAATTGTTGTTTATGACTACTATGAAATTGTTATGCTCCTTGAAGATGTTTCATGACAGCAGATGAAGCATGTGTTCTAGACTGTCGGGTTTACTGCCTTTAGTCAATACAATTTGTTTTCAATAGAAGCCATTGTAAGTAGTATGCCCAAATATCAAAAGGAGAATTTATTTTTTGTAATTGTATGTCAAATGATATTCATTTACCGGTCTCTAAATGGTGGGTGACGATAAATTGAGCGAGGTATTGATTGAGATAGGTTGAGAATGCCCACCACCTAAGACTTTTCAAGTAGACTATTACAAGTATAAGAATCTTAGTGATTAGAAATCTAGAGATCATATCTCAATTCAAAAGAGAAGAACCAAATAATTCTCTTAATATCATAATATAAAACCTTTCATTTTATCATATATTCTCCATTGGAGATTGAAAAGTGAAACAATCTCATTTTATCTAATGTTCCTCGATTCCTTTAGTTGAATGAGGAGAATATGCTATTATTCCATTTTAAAATTGTTAAGTAAATTTTTTTTTAAAGCTATGGTCATGACTCACGCTTCAATGGCAAAAGCTGTAGTATGAATATTTCTGAGCAACTTGCATGTAGAAATTTTACAGTTTGATCTCATGCCAGATTGCTAACATATGTGGCAAGCGAGATTTTGGCAATAATGGTAATTTGTGAACTGGAGCATAGAGGTTTTGAAATTCGGGTAGTAACCAAGAGAATGATGCATAATTCAAGTGTCATCAATCCACTCAACAAGTTGTAGCTTTATGGGAAATTCGATCTTTAGAATTGCAATATTCAAGGGTTCAATTGAATCCAATAAAGTAGCTTTGGGAGAATTTTGGTTCAAGAGAATGATCTAGTAAGTATGCAAATGAGAATAATAATAACAATAAAATTAAAAACTAAAGGAGACGTGTGTTATCAAGAAGCTTCTCAAGCCTATGGTGTTTATGAAGATCTCCAAGGGATCAAAGATACTCTATCAATTGTCAGAGGTCTTCTATTGGATGCCGAGGAGAAGAAGAACCAACAACATGCCTTGCGCGAATGGCTGAGATAGATTCATAACATTTGTTCTGATGCTGAAGATGTATTGGATGGATTTGAGTTGCAACACAAGAGAAAGCAAGTTGTGGAAGCTTCTGGAAGCACACGGATGAAGGTACGCCACTTCTTATCGTCTTCAAATCCACTTGCTTTCCGTTTAATCATGGCACATCAAATCAAAAAGATTAGGGATAGATTGGATAAGGTAGCTGTTGATGGAACCTGATGGAACCAGGTTTGGTCTTGCTACAATAAGTATTGATCCTGAAATTGTTGTTAAAAGGAGAGAAATCACTCATTCCTATATTGACGTTTTAGATGTGATTCGAAGGGAGAATGATAGGGAAGAAATTGTTAAGCTTTTAATGTAACCTCATCCTCGTGGTGATCAAAGTGTGTGCGTCATTCCCATAATGGGAATTGGAGGAATGGGGAAAACCACACTTGCTAAGTTGGTATTCAATGATAAGATGATTGATGAACTTTTCCAATTGAAGATATGGGTGTGCGTCTCTAATGATTTTCACATCAGACAGTTAATAATAAAACTCACCAACTCTGCTTATGCTTCAACTTCAGTTCCTACGGTTGCGGCTCTTGCTCATTAAGAAAATATTAATAACTTTGATATTGAGCAACTACAAAGACATCTTTGATATAAGCTTTTTTTCTCGTCAAAAGTTTTTGTTTGTATTGAATGATATATGGAATGAAGATGGTGCAAAATGGATTAAATTAAAAGACTTAATAAAATGTGGTGCACTAGGAAGCAAAATCATAGTAACAGCATGTAGTAACTCATATGCTTCAATGTCCCTAGTATATTTTAGAAGTTCTTTCTCATGAGAGTTGTTTATTTCTGTTTGTCAAATGGGAATTTAAGGAAGGTGAAGAAGAGAAATATCCAAATCTAATGAAGATCGGAAAACAAATTGTGAGAAAATGTCAAGGGGTTCCACTAGCAGTGAGAACATTAGGAAGTTCTTTGTTTTCGAAATTTGATTTAAATAAATGGAAATTTGTTAGAGACTCTGAGATATGAAATTTAAAATAAAATGAAGATGACATTTTACCCGCTCTTAAGGTAAGTTATGATCAATTGCCATCTCATTTGAGGCAATGTCTCACATACTTTTCACTTTATCCAAAAGATTTTCGCTTCACTAGTGTTCAAATCACTAAACTCTGGAAGGCATTGGGATTACTACAATCA